CTATCTCTGATCTTAAGAAATATCTACCCCCCCCCTGCAATGTTCATGTGGCATTAATAATTTTTCAAAAAAATCTTTAATTGTGAAATTTCAGAATTTTATATTTTGGAAGTGCTGGCCCAAGAACAGTAGCTGTAAACAACAAGCTAAAAAAGCTCATTAATTACATTTATCAACATAAATACACATTCAAGGGTATCAATATCAGGGTTTAATCAAGGGTTTATCATTCCAGGATTTTTTCTTCAAGTTTTATTCACTGAATCGGGGGAAATTATATCTATTCAAAAGGATGAAACAACTTGCCGTCTGTTGTCCTTCTTTCCCCAGCGCATCAAAAATCATTCCCCCGAGAAGATTTCTTGAAATTATATACCCCTGTTAAAATCTAACCTTCAAGTTGACAGTGAACTTGGATCCCTTGCCCATCACCAGCTTCTCCGGGTCTAGGATCCTTCCCTTCATCCTGGGAGAGAGTAACAGTCAGGATATTGACAAGGATACTTTTTACAATTCTTCTCTCAACATAATAAATTTAACTAACCGCGGCGCTCCGTCCTCCCCCACATTCTTAATAACATGTGAACCATAGAAGGCCTATTCACCTTACCTTATGTATTATGAAATAAAGCCCATTTCCTAAATTATCTTTTAATTACTTTAGTTCTGAAGAATTTCAATTCTACTAAGACGCATAATTTTAATCTGATCTAAAGCTTTCCATTTTTTATATTCAATTAGATTACCTGATTGGTTCAGTGTCCAGAGCAAGCCCCCAGTCATTAAGAATCTGACTGGCTTCAGGATTATCATTCACCTTCTTCAAAAATTTCTTCAGAGCCTAAATAATTCTGTATTTGAGGAACAGTCTTAGTAAATATTTCATTTCTTCTTTGAACCAAACTTAACTAGAATCATTTTCAAAAATAAATATCTTAAGAAATAATCTGCCTACTCTCTGATCTAAAGAAATATCTACCAACTATCTCTGATCCAAAGAAATATCTACCAACGCTCTCCGAACCAAAGAAATATCTACCAACTATCTCTGATCCTAAGAAATATCTACCAACTATCTCTGATCCAAAGAAATATCTACCAACTATCTCTGATCCAAAGAAATAACTACCAACGCTCTCCGAACCAAAGAAATATCTACCAACTATCTCTGATCTAAAGAAATATCTACCAACGCTCTCCGAACCAAAGAAACATCTACCAACTATCTCCGATTCAAAGAAATATCTACCAACGCTCTCTGATCCAAAGAAATATCTATCAACTATCTCTGATCCTAAGAAATATCTACCAACTATCTCTGATCCAAAGAAATTTCTACCAATTATCTCTGATCCAAAGAAATATCTACCAACTATCTCTAATCCTAAGAAATATCTACCAATTATCTCTGATCCAAAGAAATATCTACCAACTATCTCTAATCCTCAGAAATATCTACCAACTATCTCTAATCCTAAGAAATATCTACCAACTATCTCTGATCCAAAGAAATTTCTACCAATTATCTCTGATACAAAGAAATATCTACCAACTATCTCTGATCCTAAGAAATATCTAGCAACTATCTCTGATCCTGAGAAATATCTAGCAACTATCTCTGATCCTAAGAAATATCTACCAACTATCTCTGATCCAAAGAAATATCTACCAACTATCTCTGATCCAAAGAAAAATCTAGCAACTATCTCTGATCCTAAGAAATATCTAGCAACTATCTCTGATCCTAAGAAATATCTAGCAACTATCTCTGATCCAAAGAAATTTCTACCAACGCTCTCTGATCCTAAGAAATATCTACCAACTATCTCCGATCCAAAGAAATATCTACCAACGCTCTCTAATCCAAAGAAATATCTATCAACTATCTCTGATACAAAGAAATTTCTACCAACGCTCTCTGATCCAAAGAAATATCTACCAACTATCTCTGATACAAAGAAATATCTACCAACTATCTCTGATCCAAAGAAATATCTACCAACTATCTCTAATCCAAAGAAATATCTACCAACTATCTCTAATCCTAAGAAATATCTACCAACTATCTCTGATCCTAAGAAATATCTACCAACTATCTCTGATCTTAAGAAATATCTACAAACTATCTCTGACCCAAAGAAATAATTACCTGCTGTCTCTGATCCGGAGAAACTTTGGTAAAGAGAGCAACATCCTTCATTACACTGAAAATAATTCTCTTCATTAAAAACTGTCACATTACTGGGATTGCCAAAGGGAATTTGAATTTTGTGAGCGCTAACAATTCACGACAGTTTATGTAACCCATGGAAACAAAATATTCTTTAATTTAAAGTCTTCAATTGAAAAAAAATTGACCCTTTTCTAGCCCGTCCCTGTTGTAAGTCCGCAGGTTGCTTCATAGTAAAAAAAGTAGTCAGTTCGTTAATTATATCAATTTAAATTTCGGAGATGACGCAAACCTTTATCAATTTATCAAAACCAAAATAAATGTTAAATTTTATGAAAAAAACTATTTAAGAAAATCATGATATCTTTGGCGTTTGTTGAAAAAAAGATGATAATTATATTACCCATAATTTGCCCGCATGGCATCAGTGAGTCCGGTCATCCTGCACAGTTCTGGAACCAAGTAGACAAGCTAAACAAAATATTCTGCAGTTGGAAGATCATTTGCAGTTTTATTTTTAGTTGGAGACATGGACTTTATAGTTATGTATATTAATGTTAGTAGTAAGATAATTATGTTTGGAATAGCATTTGTTGAATTTAAATTTGAGTAAGTTGAGTTTTATTAAATTATTTTTAACCTTATTAGTTTTAAGTAAATCATTCATGAAAGTTAACAATTATATGACAAGTTGAATGGAGAAATGAAGAAAAACATTTTTATTTCTGTTAATCAATTACCCTCTCCTCGTTGAACTCTTCTTGTTTTTTCCTCCTCTCCCTGAAAAAAAGTTTATTCAAGAAGGGGTTCAAAACTTTATTTGAAGTGACCCTGCATTAAATCATTTGGTCATTAAGGATTAAGATTTTATTGTGTCAGAAGTGACTTGCAGATATTATAAAGACAGATAATAAGCTGATAGGAGTCCCATTCATAGTTAAAAGCAGTAAATGTTCCCCAGCTACTCCTTAGATAAAGGTTTATGAGGTATTGCTGGTAAACCATAATACTACATATATTCCTTTAATGTTTCTAATAATATCTAGGCTTATTGAGTATCAAATATATCAAAACATAAATGCAGTTATGTACCTAGACAAAAACAAATTTACATGATATTCAGGGTGGCCAAAACGTTTTATGAAAAAATCCGTACATTTTCAGAAGAAATCCGTACAATTTTCGAAAAAAAAATCCGTACAATTTTCGAAAAAAAATCCGTACAATCCGTACATTTTTTTGAAAAAATCCGTACAATCAGTACAATTTTCGAAAAAAAACCCTGCAATCCGTACATTTAAGAAAAATAAAACCATTTTTGAAAATATTATTTATCACTGTCTCAAGAACTAGAGAACTAGAGAACTAGAGAACTAGAGAACTAGAGAACTAGAGAACCAGAGAACCAGAGAACCAGAGAACTAGATAACTATGGAACTAGATAATAGAGAACTAGAGAACTAGGAAACCAGAGTACCAGAGAACTAGAAAACTAGAAAACTAGAAAACTAGAAAACTAGAAAACTAGAAAACTAGAAAACTAGAAAACTAGAAAACTAGAGAACTAGAGAACTAGAGAACTAGAGAACTAGAGAACTAGAGAACTAGAGAACTAGAGAACTAGACAATAGAGAACAAGAGAACTTGAGAACTTGAGAACTTGAGAACTAGAGAACTAGAGAACTAGAACTAGAGAACTAGAACTAGAGAACTAGAGAACTAGAGAACCAGAGAACCAGAGAACCAGAGAACAAGAGAACCAGAGAAGCAGAGAACCGGAGAACTAGAAAACTAGAGAACCAGAGAACTAGAGAACCAGAGAACCAGAGAACCAGAGAACCAGAGAATCAGAGAACCAGAGAACCAGAGAACTAGGGAACCAGAGAACTAGAGAACCAAAGAACCAGAGAACCAGAGAACCAGAGAACTAGAGAACTAGATAATAGAGAACTAGAGAACCAGAGAATCAGAGAACCAGAGAACCAGAGAACTAGATAATAGAGAACTAGAGAACTAGAGAGCCAGAAAACCAGAGAACCAGATAACCAGAGAACCAGATAACCAGAGAACCAGAGAACCAGAGAACTAAAGAGCGTTGATTCTAATTTTTAAAACTGTTTAGATCGGTGTGAATTAGGCCATTTAACAAACAAACGATTAAGTTATAATAAGAAAGAGTGGAGTGTAGATTTAGGATCTAATATAATTAAAATTAGCGTGGTACAGGGGTTACACACTCTATTAAAAGACAGTTAATATTAAACTAAAAATGAAAAGATTTACAGATAAACGGAAGAAACCTGAGAGGATGTTCTCAGATCTGATAAAGAGACAGATAGATAGATAAACAGACAGACAGATAGATAGACAGATAAATAGAAAGAGAAACCGATAGACACATACACATATAGATAAACAGAGAGACTGATAGGATATAATAACAGTTAGATAAAAAGATAGATAAACTGACATGCAGATAGATATACAGATAGCTAGACAGATAGCTAGACAGTTAGCTAGACAGATAGACAGATAGATAAACATATTCTCAAATGAACACTTCTGGAACATATTCTCAAATGAACACTTGTGGGATCTCGAAAATTATGAATGAATTTTTATTGTCTATTGAAACATTAATCAATCTAATATTATTTAGAATGCAGAAAATAAGTTAAACTTCATTTTGACGAAATTTTTTTTTTTGAAATTTTCATGAAAAATTTGCTGAAATGAGTTAAAATAAAAAAACCAGTGTATTTCCAAGATAAAAATCCGTACAATCCGTACAATTTTAGGGTTACAAAATAAAAAATCCGTACAATCCGTACATTTAGGCCACCCTGGATATTACAAAAAACAGTAATGCAGTTATTCTCCTAGACAAAAACAAATTTGCATGATATTACAAAAAACATAATGCAGTTATGTTCCTAGACAAAAACAAATTTGCACGATATTACAAAAAACAGTAATGCAGTTATGTAACTAGACAAAATCAAATTTGCATTATATTACAAAAAAACAGAAATGCAGTTATGTACCTAGACAAAATCAAATTTGCATGATATTACAAAAAACATAAATGCATTTATGTACCTAGACAAAAACAAATTTGCATGATATTACAAAAAACATAAATGCAGTTATGTACCTAGACAAAAAACAAATTTGCATATTACAAAAAACATAAATGCAGTTATGTACCTAGACAAAAACAAATTTGTATGATATTACAAAAAACATAAATGCAGTTATGTACCAAGACAAAAAACAATTGCATGATATATGGCGAGGTTAATACAGTTCTTGTTGTATTTCTATAAAATGAGTGTAAGAAGTAAAGAATAGTTGTATTCTTGAAGAAATAGAAGTAAAACAAATCAGTAATATTCTTAGGCTAGGCAAAAAACTTCTTTTGCTGCTAAAAAGTCCTCTAGAAAGAAAACACGAATTTTTTTTGATGATTTTACATCCCGAATATGATAAAGCGCAGAACATTATGAATTACAATTCCGGGACACATGCACAATGGAATATTAGATAACGCATTAGCCATAAAACACCTGAATTTTATTGTTAAGTTACGTAAATAAATCATATCTACCTGAATACAATCATGGGCTGCTCATGGTCCTTAATATCAATGTTCCACTTATTCTTGTAGTAGTTGATGTAGGTCTGAGACTCGCCTGAACAAGGAGTTCTGCTTTAAGGAACTGTAGAAGCAATTTCAAGTGACTTTGGAATTATTTGAATCGCCTTTCCAATTAATAATGGTTCCCATCCATAATAAGAGATAAACATGGGTTTCTCTTGGAAATTGGTCATTTACAGTATGGTTCTCTTTTTTTTGTACGTACATGTACTACACTTCAGAAATGTGTACTGCATGTAGGGTGTTAAAAGATGAAGTATCAGTAATCAATATAGAGGATAAATTATGATCTACCTCTATAATTAATGAAGGAGCTTTGAGGAGTTGTTTCCATATCTATCTCATCTACTCTGTAGGTTTGTGCCTTGTTGTACTCAGTCATTACAATCTAGGGCAACAAATATGCATTAAATTCAAAAGTATTTATTTTATTCGAAAACTATGCAATTTGGGTAGGTTTGTTTCAGCATGGAATGATTTTCGATTCCCTCATTCTTGTGCTAAATATTGGTGAAACCATGAGTAGTCAGCAAAGCAGAACATAGGATTCAAATCCATTGGATCCTCAACATTTTAGCTTCCTTGATCCGGATCCAGATCCAAGGGCAAAATATCAACCAAAAACTGAAAAATCTTTTGCCCTCAAAACTCAAATCTGAACTATTGAAAACGGAGAGATTATCAAAAATGTTCTTATCTTTAAATGGTTCATCAAGTTTTTGCATAAAAATCAGGGGGGGAAAGTAAGAAAAATAATCTAAAAACTCTTCTTGTTAAAAAATCGGTAAATCTTAAATTAATGTTCATGATCTGGATCCATTTATTCCCCTGTGAGGATCCACATCAAAATTAAATGTATACTATGCATTGCAGCAAAGATTACTATTTTAAGGTAAATTTTTTTCTTCATAAAAATCTATTATACATATATTTCCTAGCTTTTGACATCAAGTGTTCATGTTAATGCTTTATTACTGAATATTTGAAGTGTTTGCGGAAAAAAAATTTAAGTGGTTTCAAAGTTTGCTAGCAAACTGCAACCAATTTTGTCAAGTGACGGGGGGGGGGGGGGGGGTAAATAAATGGCTGAAATTTGTAGAGAGCTCCTGAGGTTTTGAATAATGACGTAAAATTCTACTTCCTTGACAAATATTGGAAACTGATATATTCTACTATAATCCATCTATCCAGACACTCAATCAAAACATTTTCCAGTAATTCTAAGGAAACCACCAGAACTACAGTGTAACTTTTGAGATGAACTCTTTTAATAAAATTCAGTTGCTATCAACCTTAAAAGAAATATCAAAAAACTTTAAACCTTGAACGAAAAATGTTTTTGATCAAAGATAATCGAATGGTTGAAAATTTTTATGAAGGAAATAAAGGTAGTTCAATGTATAGATTTTTGTGCCTCCTACATCTAAGTTTTTAAGGTCAAGTATGGGAAAATGTAAAAAAAAAACTTTTTTATTCTGTAATTTTTTAACTTAGTGAATGATATCTCACCTGTCCAACAAGAACCTTCTCCAGAGTATTCTTGAGATTACCTCCACCTCTCTTTGTCACCTCACGGATGATATCATAAGCAAATTCATTCCTAGAAGTAGTTAAGAGTTTGTTCCTTTGTAGAAGTAGGACGAACTCGATGATTTTACAAGTTTTAAATTTCTCAAGAATTAACGTCATCTTTGCTTCTCTGAACTAAGGTTTGTAAGATAATGGTATATGGGTGGCAGTTTTAAAACCTACCGGAGAACTTTAAATGAAGTATCGCAGATGAGCATCAGTCCTCCATCAGTTTCATGAACTCTTGATACATATCCAGGCCAGATCTCAAGCTTATGCTGCGGAACCATCATTGGAGCTAAATCACAAGGGAAATCATTCATACTTAAAGGGTCTATAAGCGTAATTTTAAGTGACCCCCTGTTACGCGAGCCATGCTGCGTGTATAAAGTCTGCTTATCGCCCCTGTGTATTTCTGAGTTCTCCCTGAAGATCTGTACGGAATGTATTGTGAAAGAACTAGTTTTAGGAACTGTTTACAGACTGACTACGCAGGCGCAAGATTTCTCGCGGAGTAGTAAATAATTTATATCAGTATATGTTTATTCGTTTTGCAAGTTTAGCCGTGTCCAGAATTCTGGGATCACTGTGGTAACTATTTTTATATATACTTATGCTTATCGTTTTGATTATAGTATGATTGATATTTATATATGTGTTTGTTGGTTACTAGCCACAGTTTTTTAATGCCTGAGTAAATTATTTGTTGTATTTGTATGATTTATCACTCAAAGCTTTTTCTGTGGGTTTATTAAACTTATTTAGATTGAAGGCTCAGAGAAATAAACGTTCGGAACCTTACTATCATCCTTTTATTATGAAGAGCGTTGAGAGAAGGGAGTCTTACGATCCGGTCCTGAGAAATACCACACGGTATATATATTAGATCTTTAGGGAAATCGCTAAGTAGCGAAACACCCCCCATGCAAGCCGGCAATTCCAGATTCACAACAGCACCCTTAAAAGCATTGTCTGATCAAGTATGGAATTAGATAACAATGATTTTAATTTTGAAAACGGATTATTTTCAATTGTGATTTCTCTACACAAGTGAATTGCTTGTTTCAACTGTAACATATTAGAATTATCATAATAAACACTCAATAAGAATAAAACCCTACAAAATCTTTCAGACGCCAAGGTGCTGTTGTGAATAGGACATTGCCATCTTTGCATGAAGGGTCAGTTGAGATTATGCTTTTGGTACCATCAAGATACAACGAAATATATTTTATTTCTCCATCACTGAAAATCCAGAAATATGAGAATTCTACATTATGGAATACTGAAATATATCAGTTGACGGAACTATATTGCAAAACCTTTCTCACTTAATTCCTTAATCCGCATCCAATATCTTTGATAAATCTAGTCCAATATTAGTCCCCTAAATTTAACAATATCATACAGGAGTAAAACTAAAGTTTAAAAGTCCTCACCTAAAGGATCATAGTGATTCCTCTTGATCTCCACGAACTATTAGCAGACAGAAAATATAGTCAAAGTTTTTAATACCAAATAAATATCATTTGTCTATGAATGAAATATTTCATTTAAAATTTTGTCAATGTACATAATTCCTTTTATGCTTAAAAAAAGAACCCTTTACCCACCCCCCTCCCATGTATAAAATTCATAAGAATATTGGTTGGGGAGTTTAAAGTGATTAATTTATATTTTATCTTTCCTTGAGTATCTCCATTATCTTGTTGAAGAGAACATTGAAAAAATGCAGAGCATTTTTTAACTCAACTCGACGAACTGGACGGATAGTTACCAGCACTGGCTCACCTGGATCCAACAATAACAATGTAATTGGTTGGATAAACCAAGGTGGTCGTGGTTAAGGTTTGATTATATTTTACTGTGACATATTAGGATCGCCCAGGAACTGGTTTAGGTATAAAGATCCCGTAGTGAACGAAATCCATTTTTTTTACAATGTTTGTTAAATTATGGATGAAAGTTTTGAAACTTCTTATATGTATCATACATAGTTATTTTCAAATCAATCAATATCGTTTAAAAATCTTGAGTAACAATAAACAGGAAAAACAATGAAAAGGAATTCATACCAGACTCTGAGGTTATGCTGAACACATTATGAAGCTTGCGTAGGAGAATCGGTAACCATAGCGTAGCACCATCAAACTTGTATGTAGCTCCTAAACATATTTTTCTGAATTTCATTAATATATCAAACTTATTTGCTCATTAACTGAATCTTGCTTGCTAGTATACACAACACGGTAATTGTGATTGCTAGAAACGTGCCCCCCCCCCCTCCCCATGTTAATATTGACGTTCCATTTAAAAAATTGCAAACTACATTTCTAGACCTTGTCTATTTTGGGATAAAACTTTTCAATCTTCAGCGTTTATAATATGTCTTCCAAGTCGAATTATAAAAATTTAAGTAATTTCAATACTTTCAACATAAAGAATAAAATTATCCGTGATATCTATGAGAGCTAACCTATGGTATCCGTAAACCTCCGGATATGACGTTTCTTCTCTCTGATATTATCCATGGGAGGATTGAATTGAACACTATACTCATATACCCCCATATCCTGCTTCACGGTCAACCTGTAAACAGAACAATGCAACTTAAAAAGCTTTAAAGGGAGTAGGGAGTAGACCGGCAATGTTGAACTGAGAGTAACAATGCCAAAACTGCAGAAGTGTTTTCTCAGAAATCTCAAACCTGCACTTAAAATTCTCTGATGAGTGAATCTGTTTCTCTACCAATTAATGATTAACACAACCATTAGTATTCAGAGTATATCTCCAACTGTCTAGTAATGATAAAGGTAAGTCCTTTAACTATAAATTAATAAATATATACAGGGTACAACGTTAAAATTAAGATAAAATTGCATTTATGAGAAATCGAAGGGGGGGGGGGGAGCTGTACAGACATATCGGATATCATTATATTATAAGGCTGCAGCGTTCGGCCCCCTAGCCTGTCCTAGTCTCAGGGCTCGGCCCAGAAATTGTCTTAACCTAACCTGACCTTAACTTACTTATTGGATAACATTGTAATATTTTTGATAAATAAGGCCCTATAGCCTGTCTTAGCCACAGCGCTTGGCCCAGAAATCGGCTTTACCTAACCTAACCCCACATATCTAATATCTTTGTATTATTTTTTATAAATAAGGCTGCAGAATTGTCTCGCAGATTTCTTCAAATTTTTCATATGTCGTCTTTTCAATAAAAATTCTAGGAAATCTGCAGAAAATGCTTGAATCGGGTTATTGAACGATTTTAAAGATGATTTTTGTATTCTTTTCTCTCTCTTATTCTAACTTAACAATAATCCATTCATTACTTTCAAAATGTTGTCTTCATCCCTATAAGGCTGCTTATCATTCTTTCCAAGTTTTACATACAATTATTTTATTCTATCTGTATACTTTTGTTCTATGTTTCAATATATTTCTTATTATCTTCCAATACAGTGGTTCTCAAATTCCAGATTACTCTACCTACCAATATAACAACCCTTCTTTTCATCCTAACACTCATTGATTCCCAATACCAAATATTCCAATCCCAAATTTCTCTCAAGCTGATTTCCATCCAAATCCCAACTTCATCTTTAGTTAATATCCTTACCAATTCCCAACCTATTTTACCTACTCCCAATTGGTTCTATCTCATTTGTATCCCAATATCTTGAACATTAATTGATAGTCGTTTGGGATCCCAATAGTTTGGATTTCACGTAAAAGTTACTACCATAGACTTTATATCATGCTTCCTTTATGAAAAATGACAATGAACAAGAAAATATGAATTTTAAAGTATAAGAAATAAACAAGCCTGTGCAAAAAAACCAGCCTGTGTGCATGTTTTGCGCAGTATTCTGCTGGCAAGCTAACGGGGTGTTTAGATCCCTTGAAACAAAAGTTATTAACATGTTTTCATGTTTTCACTTGTATATCTTTTTTATGCCTAAAAGCGTTTATATTGTCAAATAATACTATTTTTTAATTTGCCCTGAATTTGGCAATCTGCAAAAAGCAGGCTAGACACAGTTGATATAGAACCAGAGAGAAGAAACAACCATGATGTGAGGTAAAAACTGTTTGACCCACGTACCAACGTGGACCAAGCAAGTGCAGAAGAACCTTGTATTCTTATCTTAAATATTCATATATAATTTTCATTCCATCGATTTATTAACAAGAACATCAGATTCATAGTTAAAGACAAAGAACCCTATATATGATAGTCTACAGGGTGTCCCACATCATATTAGACCGAGAAAGTGTCTAAATTACGAATTTTGGGACTAATTAGAAAATTTAATTAGAATGAATCATTTTGAAAAATAATATAAGGCTTATATAAGAATTTTCTTGCGGAAAATGATAAGTTTTTCGAGTAGTAAGGGTTTATTTTGGTGTTAAAGATTGGAGATAATCTAATATGATATGAGACGCTCTGTACCATCTTAAGCGCACATCATTTTATCAGAATACACATATATTCAAAATTTTCCAATACAAGTTTGTGAACAAAGAGACATTACAGAAACCAATAACTGAATAAGATTACTTTTTTTTGATGTTAATAGTTAACTTTAATTTTGTTTTATTTAATACATTTTAAATCGTCGTTGAATAATTTTTTTACACCGATTCCCAAAATGATCCCCCAAAAATGAACAATCTATGAGAATTTTAAAGATTGATTTGCGCTCTTGCTGAACAAATATGTACCGTAAAAACGTCTCATAAGTCTGAAATGATGGGGGGGGGGGGGGGCCGGAAACTACATTTAGCCGGGCTTGGAAAAGTTCTTACAGCAAAAGTATGGAGTTGTAATACATGTTCAATTTTCAGCTTCAGATCAAAGTCTTCTTACTTCTGTGGTTAGAGTGCTAAATAATTTTTTAAATGACTGAAAGGGTGGGAAAAATAAAATTATTAATGTTGATAAATTATAGGATGTAACGCACGTTTTTTGTTGTTATTTTAAAGGCGTTTTTAAAGTTATAAGCTTAGATTACAAACTATATAAAAGCCCAAATTAGTACAAAACGGAAAATATGTCTGCCTCACCTATTTTTTGTCCTGACCACACATTTCTGTTGTTTGCTTATTTAACTACTAATCTGCAACTTTTAGGTGATTTTACATTATATTATTAGTAAGCATAGCAATTGGTTTTATTTTGCTTGAGTGATACAAAAAATAAAAAATTGTATGTCTACTGTATCTTTCTAAGATGTTCCTCTTAAAAAAAACAGGTTTGAATCATGTTAAGTACTTAAAAAAATGTTAACACAGGCGGACAAAAAAGGCGTGGTCGGGTGAAATATTTGTAAATTGTGGTCGCATGAAAAGCCGGACGGAAAAAGGTGTGGTCGGGTGAAATATTTGTAAGTTGTGGTCGCATGAAAAAAGGTGTGGTGTGCCTTCCCTCCCTCTTTAATTTTTAAGTGAACAAAAGTCGAACAGTTTAAATGGTACTGTCATGAATTGCTTGTAACTCTATTTAAAAGTCCCTAAAATTAGCATTAAAGAACTCCTTCCATAGAATTTGCATTCAGAAACCAAAATAGATATCTACACTCTACAGATCTTCTTTGTAGTCCTATGTTTTGTGTATATCACAATTTATTGGCTCAATATTCTGGTTAAAGTTTAATATATAATATATATCCTACATATATATGGTTATGAATGTTTCTGATATGATTTATAACTTTACTTTGTACAAACTCATCCTTTCCCGGCATTTTCTTTATTTTTTTTTATCTGTATCATTTAAATATGTTTTAAAAATGGGAATAAGCATACTTTTTTAAGAAGAAAAGTTGACTATCAACAGTATCATAAGATAATAAAACTGGATTTACATCATGGTCAAACCGACGTGTTTGGGACTGACATTTTGCTCATGCCATTTGATCAACAATTTTTTGAGCAACTAGTTATTAGTAGACAAATTTAAGATTTACACGACTTAATTAAGGACAGACAGACAAAAATATAACTTGTTATTATTATGGACAAACGTTTTTCACTTTACCTTTTTTAAGGGCTTTAAGGGAGCTTAACTAAGAATTGACCTTTTTTAGGGCTTTTAAGAGAGTTTAACTAAAATATATCTTTAAAAACTTCAAGACCAAACAAAATTGTAAATAAGTAATTCTTGCAATACTGTAGTAAAGGTTTGATAGATTCTATCTTGTTTTTACGTCGCACAGTTATTATTTCAGGGTTCGACTAATGATAGATAAATGACTGGAACCTTCTATTTATATACTTTACAAGTCTGTTTGAATCCTGTAAACGTCAAAACGGCAGATCCGATTTGGAACAATTTTTGTGTGGGACCTCACATTCATACATTCATCACAGGGAAGGTTTATGGAAGAGCAGAATTAAAAAAAAATTTGAAAATCCACGAACTCATTTGTTATTGTTCTATAATGAACTAGCTTGGGAACCCAGCCCTCCCAAGGTTACTAAAGTTACTCCCGTCAATTACCCGATTTTTTCCTATTTATGTAAACACAATCAACTTAGAATCTCAAAACCAAGTTAAGAACATTCTTATGGGTCTCCCGAGCTGCCCAATCAAAATTTTAGGCAAATCAGTCAAGAGGTTTCTGAGTTATGATCGGAAAAACAGACAGACAAACAGAGATTACAACTTTATATATATAGATAAAAAAGAAGAGCCTAGTTCTTAATATTTACAAAATTAAAAATTAGAATTTCAGTTCCGCCAGTAGCCTGACCTGACAATATTTGCGGAAGCGTTGAACTCCCTTCCCTTTTCTCCTCTCTTCTTTGGAGGATAGGTTGGGAGGAGGGAGAACTTGTCCCTGTCCACTAGCTCGCCAGTACCAGCTGTACCAGCTGTACCATCTGTACCGGCATGAGTAGAGGTTCCAAAGCTCCCGGATACAATACCTGAACAAACATATCCCTGTAATACATGGGGCTATGATATTTAAAGATTTAAAAGGAAAAATGATAAGTTTCAAACTCTTATTGAATTTTGATACTTTAAACCCAATTTACCTGGCCAAGCAAACCTTTATTCCTACCTAAACTTTTTTCCCAATTCAACGATTTTAGTCTATTATCTGCAAGGGGAAATACGAGGTTGAGGGGGGATGATGAGATACTAGTGTGGAAAATATGAATAGAGTATTCCTTTTTTCTCAAGGAAAAATAAAAAAATTTTGTATGCCTTTTTCCCAAAAGCTTTAATTAAGTAGAAATAATTTTTTTAAAATTTATATACATAGCCGGGGAAACCAATACAGGTTACCATTTGTATTACCTTCATCTGTCAAATTCTTGGTTTTACTTTCAGATAACCCAGATAAGTTGTGGGTAGAAGCAGTGACTACCAGAGAATTCTCAGATACATTCAGAGTTGTATTTCCTTGATTCTGGGCAGTATTCCCAGATTGATTCTGGGTTGTATTCCCAGACAGATTCTGAGTATTGTTTCCAGAATCGTTCCGAGATATATTTTCAGGTTTAGTGGTCGACGATGGATCGAGAAGTTTATTTCTGGCTTTCGCTTCAGCCATCTGCCTAGCCCTCTCCAGAATACGGGCTCTGTAAGAAAAATCTATTAGTTTTCAAAACTTTGCTCTTTGAGTTGGCCTCAATTTTTTTTATGCCACTGAGGAGATGGGAACAAATTACTTTATTCTAAATTTGTGTCTGTTGAGGAACTGAAGCATTTTTTTCTGCGCAGGGAAGAAGGAAAAAATCATGCGTGATAATTAATGTGATAATAGCAGTGCAAAAAATTCATTAAAAAATTTCCAAGCTAAAAAAATCTTCCAAAATAGAATAAAAAATACAACAGTTCCTTGATATGAAAAACCTTAAATATTTAAATTCTTGCATTGTTGATTGTTGACACCAGGATTACAGGTTGTCTTAATAAACATGAGAAGTGATCGACAATTAATATAGTTTTTCTAAATGATGCTGCTGATACCTACTAAATCGATTAGAATGCTAGAGTTAAGAATTTGTTTCGTTTGTATTTTGATTGCATACAAGATAAAAGTTTATCTTGACATTTTGGGACAGGTGTAATTCTACATGTTGTCAGATTTTTTGGACTAAGATACTTTAGTGACGGATTTTATGGACTACAACACTATTTGTGACGGATTTTATGGACTACAACACTATTTGTGACTGATTTTATGGACTACAACACTATTTGTGACTGATTTTATGGACTACAACACGATTTGTGACTGATTTTAAGGACTACAACGCTATTTGTGACGGATTTTATGGACTACAACACTATTTGTGACGGATTTTATGGACTATGACACTAGTTGTGGCTAATTTTATGAACTACGATTTTATGCATCAAAATGGTGCAATGAGGCATTTTTTGGTGTAATGGGTGTTCAATGCCCGTTCAGATTATTCCTAGGTGAACAAACAAACCATTCTACAAGGTTTTGTAGAATAAAACAACCTTTGACGTTTACATCAAATATACTCTAGGCAGACGTTACTTTATTCTGACCGTTGCAATAATTTGTAAAACTACGCTTACTTAGAATATTTCGTATGGTCACTTAATTCCCATGTTTTTTGGGACAAATTGAGCTGGAAACTTTTTTGCATATCAATTTCAATGCTTGACCTTGATCGTTTGTTATCTGCAGATTAATTTAATCTTTTTTCTATATCCCACGCGGAAACTGTACCCTTTTCAAGGGCTGAGGGGATCTTTGATCAGGAAGGAATAACTGAACTGAAAGCATTGGTTCTCAATTTTAAAGTGCACACCGTGGACATCAAGATCAAGCCGCCAAGATTATGCGTATCCAACACAGCAGTTCAAAGCTCTGTTTAAATACACAATTGTCTTTTAGTTAAATATTAAACCTGGCAGAAGCAGGAACAGTTGGAGCTGAGCTCGGAGGAGCAGTGCTAGCTGAAGGAACAGTGATAGCAGGAGGAATAACAATTGGCACATGTTCTTGTAAATTCAGGAGTAAGCTAAACAAAACATTATAATCAAACTTAATTTTTAAATTAATATTTTACAAATTTTTCACAATAAATTCTCAGCTCAAAAGCAATGCAATGTCTCTCAAATAATTGGCGGCCATTATTACAGCCATTTTAGGCAGACAACACAAAAATATATATATAAGTACACAGGACAATATGCTCTAGAATTTTTTGGAATGATTCCTTTCGAATATTTTTCTTAATCTCATTTTTTTAAGAATTACCCTTGATCACTGAGATACTTCCCAAGCTCTTCATTGTGTACTCCTTTTGCAGCCAGGTCAGCACTGAAAGATATATTCTAAAAGCAATTTCAAAATGATAAATAAAATCAACATTGTTGGTTGTTTAAATTTCAGTAAACTATCCTTGTAAGTCACATGAGATTTGCATTATTACTGATACGGCTTTGTAGCCTCGTAGCTCCTCTAGTTTTGATTTTACGCAGAAATACTAAAAATTCAAAACATTCTCAGTAAATCTTCAAAGTTAAGACCGTATGTTAGATTTCATAACTATAATTAGACGTATTCTGATTCCAAATCAAAATAAAATAACAGTATATAGAAAAGGTTCTAAAAACAATGTTTAATTGCACATGTGTAACGATGGTTATGACTAGCACTTGGATTAGTCGACCTTAACTCGGTAAATTTCAAATTTTGTTATTTTTCTGTAATTTATTTGAACTCTGATATTCAAGCGGGTTTAAGCAATACCCATACTAATATGTTTTCCAACATTTTCACTTTCATAATCATTAAACCCTATTTGCGATGGACATTTTTAATTTCTGTGGAAAATGAAGTATCAGTTAATAACAAATTTTCCCGAATCTTTGTAAAATTTACAAAAACTTACTTATTCCTCTTGATGGATTCTATGAAAGCAGCTCTTCCCATTCCTTCAGCAAGATTTGTTTCATGTGATAGATAGAATCTTACTCATACTTCATACACAAGAAAATTCACTTGTTATCACTGATTTTGAACCTGCCATAGTAAATATCTTGTTTGACCAAATGTTATTTAAATTTACCCAAAATAAATAATATTACGTTAATAAGGACAGTTTGAAGTTTTACGAAATAGATTGGTTGCAGGAATAATCCTTAATAAATTAAAACATTGAGACCCCAATAAGAGAATCCAGGATATGAAGTTTTAATGATCATTAATTCCTAAGTAAAGGTGGGTGTAAATCCATCATTTTAGAAAGATTATTGTTAAACATGGAGGCCTTGTACTGGATAAGTGGTGTTAATATTTCGAAAAATTACTTTTCTTCCCCCCCCCCTCTTGCGAAACATATTTTCCCCTGAAAAGGCTTAAAGTGTCATTCCTAGACGTTGCTAACAATACGGTTTCATGATTTAAAAAAAATATCCATGAAATTATTCCTCCAATTCTCGGAGCCAATCTTCCAGGAGCCGCCGCTCCTCCACCAACGGCAGCATCACCAGCTCCAGCAGCCGCCCCTCCTACTGCTTCGTCAGATCGTTGAGCTGCTCTGGCTAATTTCAGAGCTAAAATAAAAAAGTTATTTTCTCATTTCCATGGTTACATCTATTTTTTTCAACCACAATAAGGTTATTCATAAAAGAGAATATACAAAGTTGCAACAAATTATTTAAACAGTGTTAAAAAGTGTTAAATGGGCCTGTTTACAATGCACAATTTTAAATCATAACTTTAGTCTTTAAGTAGTCTTCCTGTTAAGGATTCTCCCAGCCCCGTAATCCCCTCCCCCATCCCCACGCCTGCATACACAGCAGTGCCCCCAAAAACCTCAAAGTACCCCTTTCAAGTGGGGAAATAGTCCTTTACATATGGGTAGTGACTGGTGATAGGACAGAGCTAGGTTCGCCTTTCGAAAACGTTGGGGTTAAGGACTTTTAAGAGGTTTTACAAAAATTTGACTTTTTTTACAATATGCCAAATTAAGAACCCGGAGATTAAATATAAGAGAACTAGAAATCAAATATGAACCGTAATCGAACCAAAAACTATCGTAGGTTGCTTCCCGTTTTTTTTAGGATAATCCGATATAAATGCAGAAAACAGTTTTGAAATGATGCTGCAAGTCCGAAGAAGTTTTTGTGATGACTTTTAAGTCCAAAAACCTCTAAAACCAACTAAGCTATGGCCCATTAAATTAGGATATGTAAAGCAGATCTAATGATCCAGATCAGAGTGGCAACATCCTATTTAACACACTAAACATTGAAACCTTCCAAATCTAAAAGAAATACAACTGAAGTGCCTCAATGGGTCATTTATTCAATTATTAGCCTAAACAGTGATTCATACAGTGAGAACCTGAAAACTCTAGAATATGAAGACGGCTTTAAGTCTCAAGAATTAAATAGTCCAATGCACATGAAATACACAGTTGTTCAGTGTTAGCAGACCCTTTTAACTTATTGGCTGATAAAATAAGTTACTGGTGTAAATGTTTGCTAAGTTAAGTAAAAACCTCAAATCCGCTTACTATTGCTTTCTTGTCGCATATCTAATCCAGTTTTCTGCTTCTCACTGTACTCTATATTTAAGACTAGACTCCGGATTCGTTTGCACAAAATAGACAGTGTTTAACCCTTACACGCTGTGCGCAATTAATGGATGGGGAAGATACAGGGATATCCACAAAAATTGAGACTGTAAAGCCGACATGCAGTATTCAAATATGACGATTCTAAGGGTAAATTAAGCTTTATGTTTAGAATAAAGCCTTTTGTTGAGTTTTTTTTGTAACTTGTAAATGAAAGGAACAAGATTCTGTCACGAATTTAAGGAAGAAAACAATGTAAATTTCGTTCAGTCATCTCTGAAGTTTCATCCGTTATGGGTAACCTTGTATCATAATCTTCTTTTCTTTTGAAAGTTTTGAAATTCAAAGATTTCATTTTAAAGAATTTTTAGGCATAGCATGCCAACACTCGCTCCTCAAAGGTACCCCAAAAAATTTCTTAAATTTAATTTTGTACAAATTCTTTATTTTAGAGATTAAAAATTGTCGTTTTGCACCGTACGCTGTGCAGTTTACAGACACAGTTATATTAAAGGTAAAAAATATTAAATACTTACCATCCAGCTTCTTCCGAACTTCAAGATGTCTAAAGCATTAAAATATTTTATGTTATTTTACATTAAGAAGTATTGTTTTGTTTAAGCGGCAACGTTTATCTATTATCATATGAACATATAAATACTAAAATAAAAAATAAACTGTTTCTTCTATGCTAGATAAAATAACCAAATATATTGCGGCTGGGACATTTGACAAAAATGACATTTTATAAGTTACAAACTTACAGATCAGACATTTCAAAGACAGATAAGTATTACACATAGAACGCAAAGAGGTCAGTTTTTGACTGTAATTTGAAATAAATGCGCAGGGGAAAATCTAATTGTCGAATGATTCTAAATTCCCCGCAAGTAACAACTATTTTCACCTAGGTTTTTGGGGTCTGTACTGAGAACGCTTTTTGTACAACCCCCCCCCNCCTCCTCCAATAAATTTTACATAACCTTGATTTTAACTAGTTTTTAGGAAAGTTAATATTACTCAATTAATATTATTTTAGCCCGTTAGGTTAGGTTAAGACAATTTCTGAGTGGTAGAGGGGAGGGGGGATGGTACAAAAAGCGTACAATAACAATTTCTTAAATATACCTGACAAGTTCTTCCGTTGTTGCCTTGTGGGCATTATCAGCCATGGTTCTATAAATGATAGTATATTATTAAGCACAAAATTTCAAAATGTTTCGATGTTATTATCTCCTCATAATTTCAATTTCAGTTTCATAATTTATACTCGAGCAAGGGATGGATGTATCAACATTCAACGCGTACAGACAAAACTATTTCTTATTTAATCTACCAGACTGTGAAAAAAATACACGAGTACCTCTGAAGAAGATAATGATTATATTTATGTACTTTTTGGTTCAGTCTTAATTAAGATTTTGGCCCCCNTACGATTATTTGGTAATTTCATAGTGAACGATTTTTGGACCCCCCCCCGAAATCCATTTAATTCAACAAAATTTATATTCATTTAGTATTATTTGGGGTTAGGTTAGGTAAAACAATTTCTGGACCGAGCGCTGCGGCTAGAACGGTTAACGGGCCTAGGATAATTTCATAGTGAACGATTTTTGGAATCACTTACCCCTCCCTATCCTAGCCGCGGCGCTTGGACCCCTAGCCTGTCCTAGCCGCAGCGCTCGGCCCAGAAATTATTTGTAACTTAAACTAACCCTAAAATAATAAAAAGTAAATAAGTATAATTTTGCTAGAAAATAAGTAGTCATGTACAAAATTGGTAGGACCGAA